AGTGCCAAATTCGTTTCATTCAACCCACACACGTATACCTGCATGGGCGCCATGCGCGCGCGCGCGCGCCAATACACACACGCATGCATACATACGCACCGTAGGCAAGGTAGGCGTACGTACCTAAACTGGCGTTACACCTTTCGCCAATTTTCCAAAGTCGTCTAGAGCGAGGAGACGTTCGAGATGCCGCGTCGCCGTCGTCCCTCGGACCTTCGGGTCCTCGAAGCTCGGAGCTGTCAAAAAAAAAAAAAAAGGGAATCTTGGTCGCGCCGCGAGCCGGCGTATTCGACGTGGGCAAGGCCACTTCCTATTGGAGCAAAAGCCACCGGGCGTCCGGTAGCACCGGCGCCTTTGTGATACACAAGTGAAATCGATAGATAAACAAATGCGAAACAGAGAGATAGTACTCTCGCCAGTCTCGTCCTAATGTCGCCGACACGTTCCGTCGTGTGTGATGGTGTGTGATTCACAATCTCTTTCTCTCTCTCACTCTCTCTCTCTCTCTCTTTCTCTCTTTCTCGATCTCTTTCGGTACAATCGCTTCTTCGTTTCTTTCGAGACACACGAGCGAGATCTGCCCCGCTCTATATCTTTCTTTTCTTACGTATAAATATATGTGTGCGTGTGTTTCTTTGCGTGTGTGTGTTCTAAGCGCGCCGATACTCGTACTTGATCATAACCGCACACACCACGAAGACAAGCCGCGCTATGCCGCGCGAAACTGCCTGCCCGTTGTCTTGTACCGTTTTTCATACACCGTACGCATCGTCTCCCCCCCCCCCCTCTGCCGCTCGCCACTCGTACATCCACGCCCGATTGCACAAGCGGCGACATCTGTCGATCGATCGACGACCAGCGCCGCTTAGTGCCGTTTTAATGCCGAATTCACTCGCGAGGGCCCGCCGCCGTCGGTAAAGTAGCGACATTGGCATCGCGATTAAATTGCACTGCATTATTGCAATGGCTGTGGATCGTCGACCGTCGAGCTTGCATTTATGTTATTGAACCCGCGTGGAGAGACAACATGACAGGCAAGCAGAATCAGCTGGACGATAGCGAGAACAATCAGTCGCGAATAAAACTGATCGCGGACAAACGCAGACTCTTGGACGAGAAATCCGCTCAGGTATGATAATTCACCTGCACCTCCCTACGTTTATGCAAATCTACTAGATCCCATAGCGTATTTTTCTCTGCACCACAGCTTGTATGTTTTCTGTTTTTTTTTTTTTTCGTTTATTACTTTACAAAAAAAGTAATAAACGATATTATTTTGTGATAAGAGTTGTCATTGTACATGGCATTTAAAGCAGAACATACGAAGTAATGTGCATTTTTAAATTGAAGTCTCTATATTTGGAGACAAAAGATGGGAGCATCCATGGAAATTATTCTCCTTTCCTGTTGATGGATTTCCAACCCATTGTGGAAATCCTTAACTATCCTCTGTAATTATTACAATTATTATACAATTATTATTTTTACTCCCTCCATCTATAATCTGAATCTTTTTTGTCCAAATTGTTTTACAGCCCAAATTTTTTGTTTTAGACTAAAAAAAATTCAGGGTTTTTCTTTTCAACATCTCTATTATTAGTTTTTTTAACTTAAATGTGAAAATCTTTATTTAATAAAAATTGAAATTTTAGCAAAAGTGAGGCTGTTTGGGAATGAAATTTTGTTTATGTAAAAAAAAAACTCAAATTGCAGATATAGAGTTAAAGATGGATTTGAATTAATTGTTGTGTTCAAAAATAAATTTAATGTATTGCAATGTACAGTTCATAACATCATTATTTGTAAATAGTAATAAAAGATGCTGTGAGAGAATATAAAATAAATTTTTATTCAATAGTTAATACAGTACATAGAATGTTTCAAAATAGAATATCAATAATATCTTAAAATAATCGTTGTAAACTGTTTTTCATTTTTATATATAATTATAAAATTACGGAAGAAAAATACAATTTGCAGATCGAGGCAGAAATCAGAAGCTGTTTTGAAGGTCTAACGAAACTCCTGCGATCTAGAGAGAAGCAACTGCTCCGACAAGCCGAAGCTATTCACAGGCAGCAACTTTCTCTAATAGAGACTTCATTAAATTTTTTGCCATCGTCAGTAGTTGTCCTGAACGATAAGAACGAGTTAGAGGAACGGATATGCCAGTTTGGTAATATTGAGACGCATGGATCAAACAGTATTACAGTAAAGGATGTGGAACCGTATAAAGTTGCAGATTATCAAGATGCTAATAAGGATCATGTCAGTTTTGACAAATCAATCACCAAATCATCAGATCAAAAAGCCAGAGATCATCTGAGCCTTCCACGTTGCAAAGATTTTATATCTGACTACAGAACTGTGCGTATTTCAAGTCTGCCTTCCACACTCTTCACTAATAATGAGCTGCGAGATTCGCATAATATAAAGGCCAATGCATTAAAGATTTTTAAAGACACCTTATCCATATCAAGGTGCTCGCCGCTTTTGATTATAAAACGCAAACTTGGCCTGACACATGTATCCTTGGACGGACTGCACGCTTTTGACAAATCATATTCGCAGAATGTACAGTCCTTCGGGATGTCTTGTATGACTACAGAATCTTCTGAGCTAGATAAATTGACAAACGGAGCGACTGAAACTAATTTGCGAGAATTTGATAAAGAAGTCTTAGATCAGGATGATTCCGAAATAATTAGATCTCCAAAGGAACGAGAGAAAAACGATGAGCATCCTGTACAGATAAAGCAATGGTTGCAGCAGATACTCGCAGAGACTGAGATAGAGCCTGCGATTTACGAAATCGGGCAATTTACAGAGATATCAAAGGCAAAGCTCTGTAATGAGCTATAATTATATTTGACGATCAAATTAGACATTCTTGCATTGTGTTTCAATTGGGGCCAAAGTTTCCAAAACGATGGAAAGCAAACAAAAGGCTGATCTACCTTAGAATTGCATGCCCGATATTCTTAATTTATACAGTCTCTCATAAAATAAATTAGGGACAGTGTAGCTTTTCCGTGATCACAGAGGAATGTAAGAAAGGATACCAATTTTGAATGACAAAGAGAGAAAGAGAGAGAGAGAGAGAGAGAGAGAGAGTAAAAGATTTATTGTGTACATCGATAAACTTTAGTACCTCTACCACAGTTGCTTAATATGTGGTATTCCTTGTTAATACAACGAATACTTCGCCGTTCTTAAAACAAAGATTGATTAGTGCCCTTTTGAAAAATGTGCTTAAAAATCCAAAATGTATAATTGTTAAAGTTGTTTTTATTCTACTAAAAATATCGCGTATTTATTTTAGCGTGTATAAGTTTTTAGTCTATATAGAAACTATGCTTGTCAAGGAATTTTGACAGCAAGTGAATAATCTTATTGCGATCATTTCTTCGAGTGATATCTTTTTTACAAATAAAAACTTACAATTGTACGACATTGTTGTAAATAATTAATTTATCGTCGTATCATAATTCCATTTTCTCTCCACTTACATGACTAAATTGTGCGTATGCATATAGTTGTAGATTCTGTAATCAATTAATTCATTAAATGCTCAGTATTTTCAAATTATTAAAATTCCCCTCCCCCCCATCAACTATCAGCATTAAACAAATAATCTAAGGTTATTGTTATTGCATTTTATCATTGCTAATACTGTTAAACAGATAATATTATGTTGAAATGTGCTTTATATTTAATACTATGAGAAATTAATATCCTGAATAAATAAATTTTTGTTGTATTAAAAATTAACACTTATAATCAATGATTAAAAATATTCATCATTTTAATTTAATTTAAAATCAATTAATTTACATTTGTATGCTCACGCGTACAAATAACTTCTTATTAGTTTTATTTCTTTAATCCTAAACTGTATAAATCTGACGTATGCTTTATAAATATTAAAACGGTAAGAAAATTATAATTTTATAAAAATTATGAAAATCTGCAGATAAAAATTTATTTCTAAATATTAATGTTTTTATTGTGTTGTATCAATATATGTATGATATATTTATGAAATCATTACGAAAATTTTATTGTGACGATACAAACTTATTATACCGATATGTATTAAGATGTTTATACTGTTTAGGATTAATTGAATGCATATATATTTATTTATCTTGTCAATTGTTTAAAATCAGAGGAAAACGCTTGTTAGAAAAATAATTTATGCCGATATAATTTTATCGTTCTTACATCGAGCCTGTATAAAATACAGAATGTATTTATACATATGTATATATGCGATATATATTACATGATATACATCGACATATATGTATCAATGCACAAGTTTCTGCGGACAAACAAACTGACCGCGATAAAACTATTTAACAAAAATACAAAGAAAGAAAAACTTAAAAATAACATGCATCTATCATTGCTAATATAATCCTTTTACTATAAAACAAATATATTTAAAAAAAGAAACAATTAAGCGTAAAACAATTACAATTTTTTTCATATTTAATAATTATGTATGTTAATAAAGGATTAATAACAAAAATTGTATCGCTAGTTTATATTAGATAAAACAAGAGTAAACTTTGAAGCAGTTTTTACTACGCTTTCATATAAAAAAAAAAACATTACTACTCGAATACTTCGATTTGTTGAATAAGATAATTTCCCATTCATGACATTGAGGCAGCGATGGAAGAAATTATGTGTGTGTGTGTGTGTGTGTGTATAAAGTTATCATTAAATATTTTTAAATATTTATTTTTTAATTTTTGCACGGATGTTATTTTTTCTAAACTGTAAAAATTTTATTTGTTTTGAAGAAAATTAGATAACAGTTTAGGCGAAAGACAAAATATTGATATTCTCGAAAAATCGTTACAATTTATTAGGAAAATATATTTCGACGAGAGGTAAAATTCAGTTTGAATTAAATCTGAACTTTAAATCCTCTAAAAAAAATAATGATAAAAGAATCAAATTGATGATTTATATAGAGAAGGTATCTTATCTAGTATATTATAAAAAGATATATATTTTTCTTTTCTCTGTTACCACCTATTATGTTTTTGGATTCTCTTCCAACGTTGTCGTTACGCTGAAGAAAATTTTTGAAAAAATCTTGAGATAAAACAATTATGTCAATAATTAACATGTTACGAAATGAATTAGTAATAGTTTGATTCGTCTCACTCAGGAACTAATTTCATTAACTAATAAGGCTAAAACTAGGAAGTAGAGCTTGGGTCATAAGACAGGCAGCAGACTGTGAGGAGGCCGATTCCTCCAGGTTCTGCCCGAATATTCTCTGCTCCATCATTTCAGTGAGACTTGGTAGAAGATCCAATCTTCGAAAAAAGATGGGACGAAAGCGCGATCTTTGGTAAACGTGATCGGTACACACAATTGCGATAGGACTTCTTCATACATTTTCAAAGATTCTGGACAAGACGCACCATTTCCCTATATTCAAAAAAACAATATTAAACAACGATAAAATAAATTTATATCATATATTTACATTAAGATTCTATATCAACTAGATTTCAATTAAAGTCAAGAACTATGTATACTTAGTATACAATAAATATAAATTGAATGTTTTTTTGATCAAGATACTCACATGCGTCATATATTTTCCGGTAGACTTCAACACTTTCATGGAAGAGTTGAGAATTAGTCTAATAAAATCCCAGGCATCACCATGTGGCGTTGTGCTAATAGGAATGTCCGTCAGATCGCCGAAGACGTAATCAAATTGTCGTCCTTCTTCGATCATATGGGCTAAAGCTTTCACACAATCACCAACAATGATCTACAAAAAATGATAAGGATGATGATAATTATTATTATTCCTATAAATTTGAGATTATAAAAATCAATAAAACATAAATATTCAGATTTGTGAAAATGTTTGGTTCTTAAAATTAAAGTGTATGAAAATTCAAGGTCTTACTTCATAATTATCGCCCTTTCTCTTATCTAGGCAGTCGCCACATATGCTCCGCATATGCTGGCTACAGGCTTTCATAACGATGTCATCAATCTGTAAAAGACATAAAAGCAGATAGTATACTCCGTTTATGAAATAACTTACGTATAAAATTCAATTTAAATACCTCCAACATTGTGACAAATTTCGGTTTTTCTTTCAACAATTCCCATAATAGGCCGCCGTCACCGCCACCAAGTATCACTATCTCCTTACCAGCGTAATTTTCTTTCCCTCGTTGCATCAGCGTTTCTGTGTATATGAGATCTGCCTCGGACATGTCTACAGAAAAATTTCTAGTAAGTTATAAATAATAAGTACAGCTATAACATAATGTGACTTACTTTGCAGTTCGTCAAGTACCAGCAGGTTTCCTAGCGATTTGGAGTGCACTATTTGTACCTTCTGATACGGTGATCTAGCTTCAAACACGAGCTTGTCGATGTCATATTCCAGCAGTCGTTCGTCTTGAATAAGGGTAATCTTTATTGGCAATACTTGTTGCCAACTTGTAATAATGTTAATTTAAAAACATGCTTCTATACATTAAAAAACATTGCGAAGAGTAGAAAAACAAGGTATCGCAAGGCAAAGCTGATAACACGCATGGGAACGTTAGCATCATAACCAGATGAAAAAATGATGTGAGGAAGTTGTAAAAGACTATAATTAACTATTAAAAACGGGCGCAACTTTGTCATGCAAGAACAGAACAAATAATGTCCTCGGGATTAACGCGGAGAGACGTTCCAGACTGAACCGAGCCGAACACAGGTGCATATTACTAATGAGAGTAAGATGCGTCTAGAATCATAGAAATTGTAAGAAAGCCTAAAGTTTTAATTATGAATATTACATTTAAAATTGATTATATGAATTTGTGTATGTGTGTAGCTCTTGATGAGTTTTCATCTTAATCACTTCGAGTATAACTTTAACATGGTCTTCTAATTCATAACATACTGTTTACAAAAGACAAAGCTGCAGAGGACATTTACAACATTAATATTTACGAGTCGATATATAATATTAATTTTCCAATTGGATCGTGTTCCTTAAGTACAAGCAGTTCCGTTGTAAGAATCGTTAGCTGGTCCGTAAACATAATTATAAATAAAAACTCACCGGCGGTAGGATAGTATCTCTCAAAGGGTCCACCGCGTTTAATTGGAGTAAGCGTGTGCGACCGTGTAGCGGTTGCTGCTGTCTGCAACGCCGTTTCCAATTCCTTGGCCAACTATCATAACCGGCCATCATCATCATCATCACCATCATCATCATTATCACCATCGCCATCATCATGATTATTATCATCATCATCATTATCATCATCAAGCCGAACCAATGAGAATTGAACAGAACAAAGACACTATCTTGTAAAACGGAAGCGCTACACTCCTTGTTGTTAAGGAAGCTAAAAAAAGGTGTTAATCTGGCAAGCCATGATATATGGCAAGGCTTATTTTTGTCCAACAAAATGATACGTAACAAGCGATAAAAAACGGATCATGATAAAGGTAGCTGTGTCTGTGTATGATAGTATTATCGTATGACGGAGCCGTACGATTAAAAGTGACGATCCAAAAAAACTTACATAAAATATTCTAATCGTATCAACAAGAAGTATAAATAAAACGGATTCGGATCATATCATTAGAATTCCGGTTAATTGAATTTTTTATTATCTTCATTGGAATGTTTGATATAGATTTAACAAGTATTTGATTTGCACCTTTTTAGTTGAGTCAAAAAAAAAATTTTTCAATTAATGCAACAAGACTTTTTTTCAGTGTACAAATCTAAGAATCTAATAATTTCGGGATTTAAGGATTTATACATTGAAATATATTTCAAAAAAAAGAAATAAGCCATTATGAAAATAATATTTTAAATTTCATAAATATATACTGTAAAAATAATACGTATATATTTTCTAATTCTAAATGGCAAAATTTTTAATTAATATTGTGTTCCACGGAATGAAATATTAAACGGAATCTTAATTTATAATACACATAAGAGAGAAAGAAAAATATAGATAACAGAAATCAATAATAATAATGCTGTGTTTATATGTACTTCCGACAGAAATTAAATTGTTCGTATAGAAGTTTGTGTTTACATCAGATTCTTTGATTGCTTTCCATAGCGAATTATTCTTAGATTTCATAACGAAATACGCCCTGTGCATTGCAACAGTCGTCTAAGAACTTTTATTCGTACGACTGAAGAAAGGCAAGAGAATAATTATAAAGACACATTCAAATATTATATATTTGAATGAATGGCACTTTTTTTTTATGAATGAATTGAGTGCTGGATAGAAAAATTTGGGCTAAACGTAACAGTGCTGGAAATAAAATTAAATCAGCATTCCTGGCAAGCGGCCTATCCTAAATATCTATTAGTAACAGTCAATAGCAATATTGTAATTCTCTATGCCAAATATTTCACGAAATAAATCTACAAGTATGTAAAGTATGTAGTTGTGTTAGGAGAAGTAAACGAGGAACACAAAATCTAATTGAGGGAAAGCATTTTTCTACCTGATAGTGTCAGATAGAGGTCATATATGGTTCCTCGTCTTACGGGCGGTAAACGTTTGCTGCGCTGGCTGTTCAAAGCCATGGCAACATCAGCTTCCAAGTATCGCCACTGCTACAACGTTCTGTCAGTTATGTCATATTTCCAATTTTCGTTATAAAAAAAAATTCTGTATAGGATATTAAAATACATAGTTCAAGACTGATAGATACATTTAATGCTCAGAAACTGAGTAAAGAATATTCAATCGAAAAATAAACTTCTTAACGTAATGTGCATTTTCTCTACTCTCTAGATATAAAAACTATCTTATCAGTTAAATATGATAAGATAATCTGTTCCTCATAATACTGAAAAAATTTATATTTATTCTGTAAATAAACAATTTCAGATCGTTAAGAGCAAATGCAAATAAAGACAAGTAAATGATCAATTACAGGCAGATTAAAAATCTTAATTCAAAAATAAAAAAAAATTATAATCACTCCACGATGAAGTAAACTTGAACATGTTAACTCGATTCTATGCATTCTATAAATCGTTTTATTGATACAAAAATGTTTATCAATATAAAATTAATGTCTGACAAAAAAATATATTTTGTTGTATAAACTTTAAGATTAACAGTACACTTCTATTTTCTAAGTTTATATGATAACTAATATTTTTATCTACAAATAATTGTAATTATAGTGGCATTAACTCCTAATAAAGACAAGTCGCACTTACATTATTAAAACAGAAAATTATTTTTAATTTAAATAAGATCAATTTCTCAAACTGTATAAAATATTTTTTTACTCAGTTTATAAGCATGATTATATCCCTTAAGTCTTGAACTTATTTCTTTAACATCCTGCATTTTATTGTTTCATGTTTTACTTTAATCTCAAGTTTTATCACGTAACGATTGATACGCCAAGCGTAATTAAATTTGTCAGATTTGTTGCAATTCTCTAATGAAAAATATGTTAGTTACTTTTTCTTTCTCTCTGAGAATTGATAAGTTGCCATTTGATTTATCTTTTTTAAAATGTTTGAAGGTCACAAATACAAAATATAAATAATAGAAAGCATACAGCCACAACGATAAATATTTAAACAAAAGTCATATATTAAAATTATCATACAAAAACGTAGACGTTTCGATCAGAAGCGTTTTAAATATTAGTTAATTTCATTTTCTGGACTTCAACTTACTCAGTTAACTCTTACAATAAGCGATTGGAAAATTATTTTATCATCTTTTTGACTAGTGATCATTGTTTTATGTATTTTTTTATTTTTGTCATTTTGATATTATTGTACCAACCTTTGGACTAGCAATCATTGCTTAATTAATTAATTCTTTGTCATTTTGATGTACTGATGATGGCCAAATCTTGATGGAAATGTCTATGTTTTTATATGACAATTTTAAATATATGACTTTCGTTTAAACATCTATTGTTGTGACTGTATGTTCTCTATTATTTATATTTTGATTTATCTTCATTTTATTTTGTTTCTTAAGACCTTGATAAAAACCTTGCTTAGAAGGAGTGTTTATCAAAAGCACTAGCATTTGCTTTGCAACAGATATTTCCTGTCATCCTTAACAAATTGTTTATCAAGTTTGTTACATACCTCAAAAGTTAAGAGCGCCTCTTGGTCGTCCTGCTTGTAATACTCGATGTTTAATGTAATCAGACCCTCTGTGTACCCTCTAACAGTGATTAGACTGCCTCTTGGTCCAGTATATAAAATGAGCAAACTGCCATCGATGTTAGATTCTGTCAGTGGTTTGAGACCGGTGAAATGTTCTGCCAGTACGTTTGCAATCGCCGATTTCAAACCCGATCGTTTCTCCATATCGGCGATCACGCTACTGGACACTGTGAAGTCCAGGAGTACGGTATGGGCCACCATTGCTTCTGCAATGTACAAACAGATATTTATAGGATGCAAAGTCAATCCGAGAAAAGAGACCGTCAATTATGCCTCATACACTTAATTGTTCAAGGCCTTGTCACGCGGGCGATAAATCGTATTACAACAAATCATGAGCTACGCGAAATTTCAGCGTGCGAACTAATCTTTCTTTTTTTTTTATTTATTTATTTATTTTTTTTTTAAGTAATATACTTTACACGTCTATTCGAGTGAATAGAATAGCAGCCAACGGCGGTGGCATGAAATGTCCTTAATGTCGTCAACGCTCAGGGAAAACACATTACATAATTAATCCCATAGAAAACAGGAGCGTTGTCAGTGTTGGCGTGGTGCGACGAGTAACGTAACACCGAGTGGCCATCGATATTCAGTAAATTAGCGGATGATTCATTAGCCGCCGGTCATTAACTTGTTCATACTCACGTAATTGTGCGATAATGTTTATTGCTCGGTCTGATCAGAAGCACGTCAATGTGTTACTCCCAAACGTGAAAGAATGACGCATGCACACACTGGCACAGAATTATGCGCAGGTTATCGGATGCGCACGAGGATTTCGCGTGACGGAACTTCTCATCTAGCGAAAATTGGCGAAAATTAACGAACCGTTTCGATTCTCTTCGACTCCCGGCACAAATCGATATCTCGAAGCTTGACGACCGATTTAAATCCGCGGTTTAAAAAACCGATTAAAAAACGCACGTAGGGCCAGGATTGGGAACGTATCGTATCCTGTGTATTGTACATATTTTACGTATGATACTGAAATATGATACCACTTCACTTTCATACATTTATATATTTTACATTATATAATTTCATTTTTTAATTCGATGATCTTATTTACATGTTTTGGACTAGTAAAACGAACTTACATTTATATTGCGATATCAACAATTTATAAATATGAAATACGACAATATGTAATTATATTGAAAATTAATTAGAAAATTATGGCATAACCAGATTATATGTACTTTCAAATTAAATCCACTGGATAATAGCGAAAATTACAACAAATTACTAATATTATTATATATCAAATTCATTATACATTTTCGATATTATTTCCTTTCCATTTTTTATTTGCAAACTATATTTTTAATAAAATTGGAAAGTTCTTGGAGTTATTCCTAATCAGCAATATACACTTTAAACCTTCAAAAACCTAAAAACATTGTTTTTTAGTCAATAAAGCCTATTCTACAACGTGCTTTTTGTTTCCTGTTTCTTGCTTTTTACTATTTTTTGACATCTTGTTTCTTATCTAATTTTTTGTTTTACATCGCCCGAGGTAAAAGTTAACCAACTTTGAAAGAAAGAAGAAATAGCAAGAAATACAACTGTCGATAAAAGAGTTGCAAAGGAGAAAAAGGCAAAAGGTAAAAAGCAAGAAACAGGAAACAAAGAGCACATTATAGAATAGGCTTCAGATTAATAAATTAGAGGTTAGAGTTATGTTAAGCCGGTTCTACATTAGTTGCAAGCTGATCGCAAGTTTGTTGCGATTGCCAATATAAAGCGATGATTTCAAAATGCAAGCTTCAAATTAGCTGTCGCAACAAACTTGCGATTAGCTTGACCGATTCACGCTTAAAAATCATTTCATCCCTGTTGTTTGTCAAATATTAAACGACGACAAACGATGCTCATGAGCGTTGTCAGTATGAATCCGATCACGGCTTTGACATAATTGATTAATTGTTACATTGGAACTGATCAATTGTATTTGCTGTTCAGCAGAGTTGACTAATCACAGTTAATCGGAGTTGGTGAGACCAGTCCGTCGTGTATCTCAAAAAACATTCGGTCTGTTCGCGTTGCTTGCACTTTTTACACTTAGGATCTTCGTTCTCTTTCTTTTCAACACCTCAATATATATTTATCTCTTTTTAAGTGTAAACATTTTTAGGAATTTCAAGCCACGCGAACAAAGCTTTATTACAAATTCATTACATTATAGGCCGGTATTCATAGTTGGTTCTTATTTCAAGACCGTCTTCAAGATCGTCTCTACATAAAAATCATAGATAGTCGTGGAGTCTTAAGTTGTAGGAAACCAACCACCATCAAATATAAGCAAAATATTCGATTAGAGTTGGTCAGTTTCCTATGACTTAATACTCCACTTCTATATAGAGGACTTCTATATAGAGGATCCTTCAAGATGCTAAAATGTCCTCTGATTGGTTCATGAACGCTGAACTTAAGACAATCTTGAATACAAGGACTATGAATACCGGCCATAATTGTAATATCGAACACCAATTTAACTGCCGTATGCGATAAGTTTTTCAATCGTATTGCATCATGATACAGGAATACATCATGCGTTTTATACTAATGACAAAAAACTTATTAAATTGTTTTTATTTCTGAGCAATGAATGTTAATAAAAATAACATGAGGCTAAACTTTTTTTAAACGTCGCGATGTATCACAGAATATAAAAAAAGTTATCACATATAAGAAAAGGCGCAAAATATGAAAATAAAAGATTTAAACAATAGATTTATTTTAAGTCATTAGAGCTTATCCAATTAAAAAATATTCATTTTTTACTATAACATGATCTCTTTATAAAAACACTAACATACCTTATATACATATGTATGTGCGGTAAAACGTCTATTTAATATAAAGTATAAACAATTTGTATATGTAAAACCAAAAATATTGTACAAGACTTTTTACATCCATCATTGTGTTATGAGATTAATCGTAAAAAGCAATTAACTATAATATAAATTAGAAAGTGTATCCTATGGATGCATTTGAAGACGCTGCGTGATATCGATGGCGATACAACTACTCCTCCATGTATTTATATTCCTGCAACAATATACGCATTTGTTCTTTTTGTTTTTTTCTTTTTCAATTCACGTGATATCCAATGGAATTGTTTTGTTACTGATTAACATATAGAAAAAAATACACATTGATGTTACTTGAAATATTGTATTTTAAATCTCTATATTAAAACACCCAAATATCATTCACAAAAATTAAACAATTTCTAAAAAGCAATCATTTTTATAACTGTACACAGTACACGCAATTTCATTTTTACCTTAATTATGAAAATATAAATCAATATTAAATAATTATATTAACGCTCTCCGAAAATTTATATGTTATTTTGAATCATGATAATTTTTTAGGTCTTTCTTTGCTCTTCTTATACCATCTTTCGCACAACTAAACCACTATTTATGCAAATATATTTTATTCAATAATTTTACATTGATAATAAACTATTCTATTAGCCCATTTACATTTTATATTATTGTATAACATAAAATGAGTTATATGCGGTTTAATATCTTTTCTGTACCTTCATTATAGCTTTGATTCCAAATGTGGCGAGCACCCCGAGACCGAACATAAGTACATGCGGTATATACTTCAAAAGGGGCAAACTAGGTCTTCTTGCGGTTAAAAGTTGGAGCAACTTCAAGTTTGCATCGGAATAGGGTGGAAAACGAGACCTAAAAAACATATTTTCTGCTTAAAACCAAAATATTACTGAAATATTAATATATTAAAATGTGTTCATAGCTTAAAATATAGAATTATCTTATTATATAAAAAAGAATTTATTTACTTGGCCATGATTTCTGCAATTTTGTTATAATTCCGAATCAAACAACCTTTCTTATGCGTGAATGTGTCGAATGTGAATTTTCCATGGTAGGCTCCTATACCAGAATAACCTACTCCTCCAAAAGGTAGAGTTTCAACTGAGAAAATAATATACATTAATAATGCATGGAATTATGTAACAAAGAGAAAACGATAATTTAATATTAATGATGGTTATATAAACTCGTAATTATCGCTTTTAGATTTTATAATTTTGTAAATTATTTTAATCAATTTGGATTGAAGATTTTATGTTAATAGTTCTAAATTATAAATAAAAGAATAATTAAATGTTACAAATATTAATAATAAAAATATTTAAAATGTATAAAAGATTCATCATAGATTCAAAAGAATTTAATAAGGAATAAGAGTATCAGTTTTTAATAAATGTTAAGAATGCAATAATTTTTAAATAACAATAAAAATCAACCATTAAACTCCCATTTCCACACAGATTTAAAGATCAATAGTATGTATAGCAATATTATATAGCAATACATTTATACATACATTGTATATTATGTTCTTAATATTCGTCTATTGGGTGTGAGTGTTCAATTCCATTACCATTACCATTTCTTAAATTATTTTAAAATCAACGGAGAATGTAGATTTCGTGCAATATCTAATATAATTAAGCAATAGAATAAAAATAAAAACATATATTGCAGAATACTACTCATTCAACATTTAGCGACCCAATCTAAAGAAAGCATGCCACATCTAATAACATTCTCTGTTGATATAGAAGTAACGTAATAATTATCATAATGTTGTTTGAAAAAAAAGCAGGATACAGAATATAACAGTCAAATAATTTGTATAAAAGAAACTTTTTATAACATTACTAGAAAAACTACCTGCTGCTTGTAATATCGTATCATTGACACTAACGCTGCCACTAGACGTATTATTAACGAATAAAGATATAGTTCCTTTATCCAGGCTAAATAAATACAACGATAATGGCTTCTCCCTGTATGTTAAATAATCAATGTAAGAACATCAGTATCATTTCTTTTTGTGACATGTGTATTTATATGTGTTGTAAATGCATACGCACATGAAATATGTGCACGTGTGTTTGTTCGCGTGCATTCGCGCGTTGCTAATAATAATGAATATTCAAAAAAGACATTATAATTGCAGATTATCAAGTTTACATATCAGTTTTTACATTAATGATATGTGGCTCTAGCTTTTCTTCGTAATGTCAATTTCATGTTAGTACTTGGATATAGATATTCATAATTCTACAGCCATCACCATTTTCAGGTATACGTACATTTTATTTGTACAGTATATGTCTTATTAATTTAATAATATAAAATATGTAAAACACAAACACATTCGAAATAAAAAAAAATTAATTTTTATAAATAGTTATATATAAATAGTTTATATATGAATTTATATATAATTTATATATGAATAGTTTACATATGAATATATATATATGAATAATTTATATGTGAATAGTTTATGTGTGATAGTATGAAATCTATAATATGAAAAGGAAGATCAAGTTCTTCTATTTCTTCACCAGTCATCCTTCACCTAAACCAACCTAAACCAACCTAAACCAAAAGAAGGAAACGCGCATGCAATATGTTTTAATTAAAGAAAAGAATAAAATCTTTCACATGCTAATAAGTAAAACATTATGCATAGAAAAACATAAAAAAAAAACATACTTCCCTATAAGCAGAATTAAAAAATTAATTTGTATATCTATTCAATCGCATTTGCAGCATCTACATTCTTTTCCGAAAGAAAAAAGAGTTTTTCTGTCAATTTCGATAGACCAAATATTAAAAAACAAATAATATAAAAAAAACCAAATAGCATTGTAAATCTGAATCGTAACCATAAATGCAAAAAAATTGTGGAGGGACTTGATGGTCTCTAAAACAAAGTTTTCCTTTCACCGAAATTCTTAAATAATAAATAACTAAACCCGATAAAAATAATAGTTCCGTCACCTAAAATCCGGACTCACCGGCATATTGTAATACCGTGTCGTTGACACACACGGCTCCGCTGCTGACCTGGTCTATAATTAGATCTTGTACCCCCTTGCTCGTGGAAAATACGTACAGTACAAGTGGGCTTTCACTAGATGCGAAAAACTAATTACTTCGTGCCGTTCCCTCGTACAATAGTGAAATCGTGAAGTGAAATACAAGTGAACTAAAGAATGTAGGTAAAAGTTCACCTCACAGTATTTTTTCGATTATATTTGCGCGAAGAATGAAATTTTCTGTGAGTGAGAGATTATAAAGAAGATTCGAATGAATTAAAATGTTTTGATAGAAAAAAACAACAAAAAAAGAAAAAAAAACAAATGCGGAGGGAATAATTACGCGCATTCATTTTTCATAATCACTTAATATCGCCATTAAATAACATACCGATTGTTGATGAAATTTATTGCTTCGTACGCATTATTAATGTTTATTATAGGCAATAACGGTCCAAATATCTCCTCTTGCATGATGGGATCCGTTGGTTGGATATTAACTAGTACTGTGGGCGAAATAAATTTTTCTGCAGGATTCATGTCGCCACCAATAGCAATTTTGCTTTTATCACTTAAATAATTGACAAGCCGTCTAAAATACAGGGAAAACAATTGTTATTGTTTAATTTATCAAATTGTAAACTGTTTTAAAAATTGTAATCATTATCTGTATTATGAACGATTATATTAAATATTTGGACATAAAACTTACTGATAATGTTTGTCCGAAATAATGCGTGCCAAATCGGGACTCTCACGTGGATTATCACCGTACCATTCGTGTAATATCTTTTTGGCTTCCTCAATAAATTTTTTCTGTATCTCGGGTGTACATAACATATAATCGGGTGCGATACAAGTTTGACCTACATTGATGCATTTACCCCATAAAATGCGTTTTGCTGCCATAGATATATCTACTGTGTTATCTATGTACACGGGACTGCAAATCAGTGTTATTTAGTGCAATTCCATTTGGAAAAAAAATTTTTTGAGGAATATAAATAATTGCATTTTATATGTATTTCGATGTTTTGGAGATACCTTTTTCCACCCAACTCTAATGTAACAGGTGTGAGAAACTCATTAGCAGCTTTCCGAACGATTTTTCCAACCGAAGAGGATCCAGTATAAAAAATATAATCAAAACGTTGCTTGAGTAGCTCTGTTGTTTCTGAGATTCCTCCGAGTATCATACGGCAACTATCCTGCTTACAATAAACATGAATCATATCATTATTTTTTCCAATGAGAAAAACCTTCAACATACATATAGACGTAATTTTATCTTATTAAGAATTATTAATATACTTCTAGAATATAAATCATAGTGTTTTTTAAACTAATACATTAAGATGTAATTACATACAGAAGGAAAAATAAAGGAAAAATAAACTTCCTCTCCATTCTTCAATGCGTAGTTATCATGAGTTACGCAACAAAGTGCTTTATAACAATCAATTCAAGAATTCAATTTCATAGTCTACCTCCTTTAACTTAAGAAATAAAAACAATTATGCAATTTATGATGGAATATCCTAGAAAGTACATGATATTGCAAATTCACGAATATAAAAAATGGCTATGGTATTAAAACTCTCGCAAAACTTAAATAATTACTTTTGTGATTTTCTATTACAGCAGTTTATAAAAATACAAGGATTTAAAATTAAATATAAAAAGTAAAATATGAAGATTTAAAATTAATGTTTACGTTGTTGTAATATATGTATATCATACGTGTATGATCCATAAAGACATTGCTAATAAATTAGCTTGTATAAATAAATATATAATTTTAGCAACATGTTTTGTCCAGTACCGTTATTAATATAAATATAACTTAATTCAGTCAAATCAATCCTTTAGATTTTATAAAATGCTGCTGTTTTTGTATAAAATAAAAGTCATAAATACATATTAATTAATCTTTTTTTAGTTAAAAAAACTTTTTTAGTTGTAATATCTTAATTCATGAATTTTTGAGTCTTGGAATAATTATAATACAAACAAATATTCTCGTACCGTGTCTAAATATTTCGGAATGGTATCGTATAAAAATTTCGTCGTAGCCATTGAAATTTCGGACGGTTTTACAATCACGCAATTTCCAGCTGCAATAGCGCCCATCATAGGTAGTATACATAGTTGAAGAGGATAATTCCATGCACCCATTATTAATACAACTCCATAAGGATCTTTTCGGATTTCTACTACATCAAAAAAGTACGCCAATGACTTGCGCGGCTGTAAAATATTGCAAGTTTTAATATTCGCATTCTCCAGACTATTAAAGTTATTTGACGAATAAAAAAAAATCTATTCTTACATTACAAAAATCGTATTCAGATTATACCTTTTCTGTTGCTGCCCATTCTTTAATATTCATGAGCATGTACTTAATTTCTTGGATTGTATAATCGATTTCAAATGCAAATGATTCGAACTTGCACTAAAAAGTCATCGAATATAGAACATTATTAAACGTAATACGATTAAATTAATAATAAAACTATTGTCCTTATAATCATAATCATACCCTACGTAAATCTGATGCAAGTGCTGCTGTAAGTTCTGAAGCATTTTCCCTTAACATAAGTATAAGCTGTTTTAATTGTTTGATTCTCCATTCTATCGGCCTTGTCTTTCCACTGTTAAACGTATCCCGTGACTGCTGAACTAACTGTAATCATTTTAACGTAAACAAGTCGTTAATCCAAATAATGCTTTTCTATACGAGAAAAAAGATATTGTGTGATTTATATAATTAATATATTCTAAGTAAATTAATTAAATGTGCAATATAAAAAAAATAAAATTCTTATAAATCCAATTAATTTACTTACATCAACATAATTTATAGGTATTTGTTTATCATTTGTTTGTGCTGAAACAAAATATATTATTTCAGATAAATAATCAACGATTATTCGATTTCAATTACTTATTATAGCATAGGACATAAGATATTCGGCCAAGTTACACATATCTTAATGTAAGTACTAAAACAATTTATGTAAATTAAATTGATTTATACATCGATTTAATCTTCACATTCGTTTTATTACGAGTGTAAAAAGTGATTAACTTATAAAAATAATAATAATTCATACAAAGCAAAATAATTCCGTTTATAAGGACTTAAAATATGTTTATCTTAAATATATGACAAGATAAATTTTTAAACATGTTCTAGATGAAAAAGATGCAAATACTAAATATCGTATTATCAATGGATTTGTAAGTTTTAAATTGTAATTTAGTTTTTGCTTGAATATCAAGTTAAATCTAGATTTAATTTTAATTAATTTAATATCGATGACTACATTCAGCAGAAAAACTGCTTTGCAACTGTTGTAAAATTCATTAATATGATTGATTTATACATTAGGTCCAGTGAAAAACTAGATCTAATAGAAGAGAAAGATGCGTTTGTATAATATTGAAGGCTATCTCTCAGATTAAATAAAGCGCGAAATATAAAAACATTGATATATAAAAATACTTTACTTTTCAGATAAGATTAATAAATATATTTACTCGAACAAGAGATAACGACTCGAGAATTAGAAGGATATTTAACATTATAAATCAAAAAAATTGTAAGAAGAAATAAAAAATAAATTTTTAAATATTGCTGCTATATAAAGAGATAAAAAGTTAATTTTATTTTTAAGAAATAATCGGAATAATTTTGAAATAATTAATTTAGAAGCTGCGTGAAGTCAAAATTTAATCGAGGAAAATTATCCTGAAAGTTATTATCTTATGTCAATGTAACGTTTCCGAGAGCGTATATTTGTTCATTTTCAGTGCTAATATTTTCTTAGCGGGAGCACGAAACAGAGAAAGGACATTTACACATGCAAAACAATCAATCTCGTACGAAAACAAACGTGTTTTTTGCTTCGATGTGTGACAACTTCCATCTTACATACATACATAAGATGACAATTAGAAAGTTGCTGAAATTGCACGGTTATTTTATAATAAATGGACAAAAAATGAAATGAATTAAACACTACTCTGCAGTAGAGATCTGTTTTTCTCATGTTTCCTTAGCGTAAAGTGAAAAGAGAATAGATATTAGACTGGTAAAAATAAAGATATAATAAAATAAAAAGGTGCACAAATTTGCATATTCAGTGTTTAGAAGATCCGGCAGAAGCGATCATTTTCATAAAAAAAGAGTTTTTCAAAGATACAGCTATTTGTACAGTTAAATTAAAGTCTTTTTCATCAATCTCTAAAACGATCTCTGGTTTACTATCATTGACTGATATTAAAATTTGGAACAAAATGCAAATTTTAATATTGGACAATAATAAAATTTAAGCTTAGCAAAATTCCTCGAATCGAAGAAAAATGTAACACTACAAACAATTAAATAAAAACAAGGAATAAAGATTATATTCAAAAAATATTATATTCTCTGGACTTTGGAACCTTCTTGCCCAGTTAAGAGATAAATAATTGTTATTGCAGACGTTTCAACAGTAATTAATGTATCTCTTTATCTTCTAAGATAAACTGACTCTTCATCTTTTCTAATTCTTACTGAGAAAAAGATGCCCAAAAATATATGTGTGAGAAATATATTTATTTCATTGAAATAAATATTTATATTTAAATATTAGTGAAATATAATTTTATTCCTAGCAAATAAGCCATCTATTTTATTTTACTTTTTTTTTAAATTAATGAGATATATTTCACAGAAATGTATATTTCGGCACAATCAAATTTCGTAAGTAACATTTGTTTTCGCCTTGACATTTTTCTCTCAGTGTATTAGAAAACAAAGAGTAAATTGAATCGAGATTAAAGTTGATCTACATTGGTGAAAATGGTCATTACATTTATTAATGTTAAAAAATATATTTAATATTTTTTAAATCCTTTTTTATAACATTTATTTTTACAAGTGCACTGAAAAAAATATTCTACATTTAGTTAGTTATTTATTTGAATAGCACTAATTAAATATTTACCAAATATAAAAATATATTTATTTTGTACAAAAACCAAGAAAATTAATCTGATTTAATAATCACTTTTCTTTGTTGAGTAAATATTTATTTATTAGTAAGCAAATGTTTAGCTGATTATTATTCAAGTAAATATTTATTAAAATTTAGTATATTTTTTTTCAATTATGTATACTCGACATTAAAAAATAAATTAAATCGAACTGAAAATTGCAATTTATTTTAATTTATCTGAATTGGCGTTTCAGAATAAGAGGAGCTGGATAGAAAAAAATTGAAATCTGAAGGCATAAATTCGTGTTTGTTCATGAACATGAATAAAGTATTGTATTCTTTTCGCACTAATAGTGCTAATAAAAAAGAATATTTTACAAAGTAAAGTTCAATTTATTCAATTTTATTCATTTGTTGCAAAGTAGTTCAATTAGTAAAGCAGTTAAATTTTAGCAACTTTTTCGCTGCTATTCAACATAATGCAAAGTGAGACAAATTTATTGACGCGTTAACATAATTTCTGCATATTCACGATCATTACGACAGCAGACAAGTGCGCGATACGACATAACAAAAAATTATGGAAGTCTAGTACACTTTTTATTATCTTCAATCGTTTTATTTGTATATAGCAGCTAATTATCTCAGCGGTAATTCATAATAATTATATTCAAAAGAAACTTTATCACGTAATACTCTTTATAAATACGTTTATCACGAAGTAATACTTTTCATTTTGTTTTTATAAAAACTATGATTTAATGTCGGTATCATTTCACATTCATTTTAATGGCACATTAAAATTCGATAATTTTATATGAATGAATAACAAAGGAATATATTCATCGAAAACGAATTCGAGGGCCAAAGGAGCGAAATGTAGGCAAAAGGAGGTCATGGAGAGAAGATCACAGTTTCAGATGGTTGATTTTACGGATCCAAAGATCAAAAAGAGACGAGTTCACTAAACGAAATAAAAATGTCAAAATCACGAGGGCGATCGTCCTTACCCATGTTCGCGAACGCTGCAGGACCGTCTATAGGCGTCGCCTAATTGTTCAGTTTCACAATAAAAGGTTAAACGGGACACGAAGTTGGTGATCACTCCCGCGTGATGTAGTTGTGTGTTGTAGCGGGATCGGTGCGCTACTAACTCCCTTACTA